AAAACTAATGTCTTGTATTACTTGTTGGTGACCGACAAACAGGTGTTGAGGCGCATATGTATGCCTCGCAATGGTTTCTAACCCTATTTACGGCCAAATTCCCGCTTCACGTTGTGTTCCCGATTCTGGACCTCTTCCTATTGGACGGAATGGACACTATATTTCAAGTGGCGTTGGCTTTGCTTTCCATATCCAAGAAGGACTTACTGGCGCTGGACTTCGAGGGCGTTCTCAAGTACTTCCGCGTATCGCTGCCCAAGAAGTTCCGCACCGAAGAGAACGGCAAATATCTGTTGCGGACAGCAGTGGCCATCAAATTGAAGGTTTGATTTGATTGCTTTGTGTTTAGTTTTGCAGTTAAATTTTGGCCCACTTTTTTGGGTGATAAACTCATTGATATCACTGCTATTGGCCTACATTTAGATTTAACTACAGTGTGTTATTGATATTATCAGTGATATGGGAATAGCTGTCCAATCTATTGATAACTTTAGTACAGTATTGCGTGCAATACTAAACGAAATGAACTTTTGATGCATTCATTTATTGGATTTTTATTTTATTTTATTAATTTTTTTGATTACAATATTTGAAACAGAAATTAAAGAAATACGAAAAAGAGTATCAGATATGGAAAGAGTCGACAAAAGTAGAGAATCCTATCGATAGACTCGAGAAGGAAAACAAGAGATTAGTGGACTCGACGTTAAGACTGGAACAGGAAAACGACGATTTGGCCCAAGAATTGCTCACCACTTGTAACTCAAAGATCAGATTACGCGCCGATTTGGACAAAGTGGAGGACAAGGCCGACACACTGTCCACTGAGTTGTTGACCACAAGGAGTCTTCTCGTCGATGTCGAGGACGAGAAGAGGCGACTCGAAGACGAAGTCAAGTGTTTAAAAGTCAGTGTTTTTTGTGGTAAAGTCTCTGTTTTAACGCTAATATTGTTTGTATTTCTGACCGCACAGGAGATGTGTCGCCGAGAGCTGGAAAGGGCTGAGTCGGAGATCGGCCGCAACACCAGAATCATCACCGAATACAAGCAAATCTGTTCGCAATTGCAGTCGAGGTTTGAGTCCGAGCAGAGCTCCGCACGCGAGTCGTTGGCCAAAGTGTTGGACAAAGTGCGCGACTGCGACCGTTGCGGACCACTCGTCGACGACACGAGAGTCTCTATTGGCGGCAATGAGATGAACGGCGGCGACAGTGGCGCCGATGGTGTGGACGGTTCGGCCACCGGTTTGTCGAATCACTTTCACCAGAAGATCGCCGAATTGGAGTCCGAATTGGTTAAGTCAAAGGTGGCGTTGGTTGAGTCCGAGTGCCGTAATGAGGTATCCGTGCCATTGCTTTTCCTATACTTAATACACGTATTGATTTTGACAAAACTCATTGAAACTCTTAATTAAAATCCAAATATTATTTTAGGGATTAAATGAGAGTTTTGTTTAAACTTTAAACACTTTGTTGTTTATCTGTTTCGAGAGATTTTTAATTAATGGATATTTTTTTTGTTAATTTTTGAAGCTCTTTATAATGTAAAGTGAATTGTTTTCGGACTTTTTGTTTGATTATCCCTTGAAATCGAGATGTTATTTAAAAATCGTTGGCGTTTTTAAAGCCGATTTAGTCGTTAATAAGCTTTAAATTATGTATAAATGATTTATTTTTGCAAATAATACTCACTATTTATTGATTGCATTACAAAAATATGCCATATTTTTTGGTGAACTGTATTTCACGTATGAATTATTGATTTGATGTTTAATATAAATGCATAAAATATTTAAAATTTCAAATTTATAATCATTTCTGAGTGTTTGGCTGCGAATGGCTGTACACCAGAATTGAACTGATATTTTAAAGTTATTTATTTATTAATGGCATAAATATTTCATTGAATTTAACATTTAAATGTTTAAACATCTATTGAGTTATATTAAAATATTGTTTACTAGTAGAGCAATACGTTTGCTGTGCATTAAATTGAATAAATATTTAACACTTAATATTGTAGAGAGAGAGAGAGAGAGAGAGAGAGATTTTGATTTTAAAAATATGCTTTTAATCACTCATTACGGTTGAATTCATCATCAATTTTGTCTCTCAAATCTTATAATCGCATTAAACAAACATTGTTTTCAAAAAATGTATATACAATGCATTTTGCTATTTATTATGTATGATATGTGCAATATATTTAGGTGTTGGAAAGTTTTTGGTTGTTTTCAGCCAAACATTTGATTGAAACTTATGAAAAATGTATGAAATGTTGTAATTTATTATCATTTTAGGCATTAATTTTAAAGTTGAATTTGCATTCCTGTATTTCAATACACAAAACGCATAGTTTTATAATATAGTAAAATATATTTTATTAATATGTTTATGCAATTAATTATTCAAATGTTTTTTAACTAATAAAACGATTGCTTTTCCATTGAATACCATAGGAATTGATACTACAATTAAATTCAGCGCAAACGGAGATCTCGCAGATGAGGGCACAGAACGACGAGTCGAAGAATACGTGGCTCTCGAAGACACTGTCGTCCATCAGAGACGTGGCCACCAAACCGTCGGCCACCGTAACCGCTAAGACCCCGACCACAGCCGGTGACCAGTACTCCAACCACTCGTCCATCGCATCCACTCCCATGAGTCGCGACGTTAGCCGCGACTTTGCCAACACTTAGTCGTTTAATTAGTGTTTCAATTAACTATTAAATCAAATGCTATACATATGTGTATAAATATAGTTTAATTTATAGATTTTTTAAATTATAATTGAATTCTAATGACAATTAATTGATTGACAAATATTTGTCTATATTTCCTAACGTTTTGAGATTTTTTTAAGCACTGAAATTCATTTGTTATAAAAATCAACGTCTTTTTGAACATTCCCTTCAAATATTGTTTTTGATTTTTCTCTAATGATTATATTAATTGACATAATATTTATTAATTGAATTCTGGATTCCATCCAATTTATAAGAGACTTACAATTTTTCATGTGTTTTGTTATGTTTTTTGGTGAATATATTATATTTTCTGTTTATTTGTTGTCACTATAAATCACTTTTATATTATTATTGTAACTATTATTATATTATTTTGATTGTAACGCGAATTTGCATTCAATTATATATATTTTTTTGACAACTTTTTTGTTGTAAATTTGTCTCTATTTTTCTCTGTATTATTTGTTTGAATTATTAATGAATTTTATTTTTTAATTTATTTCTTATGACTATTTTTTAATGTATTTCAGATTCTCGTCTATATTCATGCGACTCTCTCTCTCCCTTTTGTAATAATTATATGTAAACTTATAGTGAAA